TTTTTTCTTATGCTAGTGAATTAAGCCAGTGGAAAAATATCATATGATTCCATGTATATGAAATACCTAACAGGCAAATTGAGAGACAGAAAGTAGAATAGAGGTTACCAGGGGCTGGAGGGGATGAGAGATGGGGAGTTATTGTTTAATGGGTATAGAGTTTCAGTTTGAAATAATACAAAAGTTCTGGAGTTGGATAGTGGCAAGAGTTGTACAACAATGTGAATGAACCTAATGCCACTGAACTGTATGCTTAAAAATGGTTAAAAAGGTGACTTTTATCATATGTCCATTTTAACACAATAAAGTAAATCACCAAAAAAGCATTCCACCACTCCATTAAGAATGGATTAGAGGGAGTAGGAGCAGATGATGGAGGCACTAGTTGGGGAGCTACTGCAGCAGCTCAGGCCATAGTTGTTGGAGGCTTTGATAGGATAGTGGTGGTGAGAAAACCTTCATTGTACTTTCTGGAAGAGAAGAGCGAAGTGAGGAATTTAAGGTTTTAGAAGACAGAGTGAAGTGCTCACTTTCAGTCCAGAGAACGGTGAACCACTGTGGGCGTGGAGGATAGGGGAAAGATGTGTGTTTTCCACCTACCACACACTGTGCTGAGTGCTTCATCTCCTGCATCTCCTAAAAGAGATGAACTATCTCTGTGCTCCTCTGTCCTATAAAGTAGCCACTATCCACATGTGACTACTGAGCATTTAAAATTTGGCTAGTCCAAATTGAGTGTGCTAAAATTTTAAAATAAACAAGTTTTTTTAAGACTTACAATGAAAAAAGATGATAATTTCTTATATTTATTACATGTGGACATGATAGTATTTTGAATATATTAGATTAAACAAAATATATTAATAAAATTTACCAAAAACGTTCTTGGACCAGTGCCTGGTACATAGAAAGTTTTTGATATTTTATCATTATTGTCCAAAACATTTGCTGCTATAGATTGTTCTCTCCTTTCTGAAACTTTCCTTTGGCATCCATGATATTATACTATCGTTATCCTCTTATTTTTCTGATTTTCCTATCTTTGTTTCCTTTTTGTTCCTCTTCTTGCCTCTAAACATGAAAATACCACCAGGTTAAAGTGTACTGATCTGCCCTTCTTTATCCATAAACCATCAATTACTCTCATTGTTAAGATCCTATGAACAGAAATGGGAGAAACATTTCTATGTAGCATGTAAAAGATCAGATGACTAGACTTCTATACTATGATGTACACACAATCAGTAAAGATAAATATTTATGTTCTGCATTGTTTCAAAGATGGGCTCCAATTTAAAAGATCCCTTTGTAGGCGGTTTAGGAGATAGGTTTGGCTTAGGTTGGCAGTCTTTGTAAGGCGGGGGGGTGGCTGGAGTGGAAAAGAAGAAACTATTTGACTGGAAAACAAATGTGAGGTTAAGTCCACTTCTAAGCTGAAATGGAAAGAGCTCTTTCTGTCATTTCAGGATGAAGTGCTCAATATTCAGGGTGGGAGAGTGTGGATTCTTGACTAAATCTGCTCACATGGCTTGAGTTCATGCCCTACCAAATATTCTCTTTTTTTTTCTTTATTTCATAATATTACAGGGGTACAAGTGTTTTGGTTACATGAATTGCTTTTGTACAGTTTAAGTCGAAGTTATAAGTGTGCTGATCACTCAGATAGTGTACATTGTACCCATTAGGAATGATTTCACCCATCCCCTCCCTGCCTCCCCACCACCTGCTTGATTACCTTTGAGTTTTACTTTCATATGTGCACATGAGTGCTAATCGATTAGTTCTCATTTAATGGTGAGTACATGTGGTGTTTGTTTTTCCATTCTTGAGATACTTCGCTTATGAGAATGGTCTCCAGTTCCACCCAGGTTGTTACAGAAGGTATCTATTCATCATTTTTTTAATGGCTGAGTAATACTCCATGGTATAGATATATATATCACATTTTATTAATCCACTTATGAATTGATGGGCACTTGGGTTGTTTCCACACCTTTGCAATTGTGAATTGTGAATTGGGCTGCAATAAACATTTGAATGCAAGTATCTTTTTATAAAATGTCTTTTCCTTTCAGAAAAGACAAAATCCTAGAAGTGGGATTGCTGGATCAAATTGTCTATTTTTAGTTCTTTGAGATATCTCCATACTACTTTCCATAGAGATTGTACTACTTTGCAGTCCCACCAACAGTGTATAAGTGTTCCTTTCTCTCCGCATTCACACCGGCATCCATTGTTTTGGGACTTTTTGATAAAAGCCATTCTCACTGAGGTTAGGTGATACCTCATTGTGGTTTTGATTTGCATTTCCCTGATAATTAGAGATGTCGAGCATTTTTTCATATGTTTATTGTCCTTTATCTTCTTTTGAGAAGCTTCTATTCATGTCTTTTGCCCACTTTTTAATGGGATTGTTTGATTTTTAATTCCTGATTTGCTTGAGTTCTTTGTAGATTCTAGGTATTAGCCATTTATCAGACATATAGCATGCAAATATTTTCTCCCATTTTGTATGTTGTCTATTTACTCCATTGATTATTTCCTTGGCTGTGCAGAAGTTTTTTAATTTGATCAAGTCCAATTTATTAATTTTTATTGTTGCTGTTATTGCCTTTGGGGTCTTCTTGATAAATTCCTTGCTTAGGCCGATGTCAGTAAGAGTTTTACCAACATTTTCTTCTAGAATTTTTATAGTTTTGTGTCTTAGGTTTAAATCCATTATCCATCTTGAATTAATTTTCATGAGTGGTGACAGGAAAGGATCCTGTTTCAATCTTCTACTTGTCTCTGTCCAATTTTCTCAGCACCATTTATTGAATAGGGATTCTTTTCCCCAGAGTATATTGTTGTCTGCTTTGTCAAAGATCAAATGGTAATATGAGGATGGTTTTATACCTGGGTTCTCTGTTCTGATCCACTGGTTTGTCTCTATTTTTGTGCCAATGCCATGCTGTTTTGGTTACTGTAGCTTGTAGTATAACTTGAAGTCTGGTATAGTGATGCCTCCTGATTTGTTCCTTTTGCTTAAGGTTGTTTTGGCTATTCAGGCTCTTTTCTGATTTCATGTGAAGTGTAGAATTATTTTTTCTAGATCTGTGAAAAATGACATTGGTATTTTAATGAGGATTGCATTGAATCTGTAAATAACTTTGGGTAGTATAGACATTTTAACAATGTTGATTCTGTGGATACATGAACATGATATGTTTTTCCATTTGTTTACATCCTCTGTGATTTCCTCCTCAGTG